AATAGATATATAAATATATAAATCAAGAAAGAACAATACATGTACAATTAAAGCCTACCTGACAGTGGTGTCTTTCTTATGTGAAAAGCAATTGGTGAAAAAGTAGGAGAACCATTATGTGCAGGAGACCTCTCTGGAAATGTGGGACTGGTTATACTTCCAAGACTGTAAGCCCTTGTTCCTCCCTGAATAGGGCTTGAGGAAAACTGACCCTGCCGTTAAAAAGAAAATTAAAAAAACCCAAGCATTAGTTTCATAATGTAAACTTTGACTAATATGTATATACAAAAAGTATTCTAATTAAAAAGCTTAATATGGCAACACTGAGGAAAACTAATCCTGTACCACTGAACTGCGCAATGACAATCTCTATCATTAGTTTAGCTTAAATGTTCCAGCTGCAACTCTTTACTGGGACTTTATGACTCCACATAGGAAAAGAGCAATGGACTCAAACTGTCATGTAATATCAACTAAGACTATAATATCTGTTATATTTAAGAACTATGATAAGCCTAAACAGGGAATTAATGCTATCTGTGTATATAGTCAAGTATTTAATCTCAACTTCTTACTCGTAACAATTTAGAAGAAAGCCAGCCTCTATTTATACTGTAATGGCATCCATATTATCTGAATTATTTAGCTCAGGAGCAGACAAAACACTTTTCCTTCAGAAAAAAAGAATAGTGTTTGTGATCTTCCTTAAGAATATGGTACAGAAAGAAAAGTCACTTCTAGCAATATAATTACGTTGTACGAATTCTTTACTAGGTTACCATAGCGAGGACTTTTTTTTTCTTTTTTTTTTTTTTTAAGCCACACTCTTGCTGGGGTACCTTTTTTCCATGCACTTCAGCCACCAAACAAATGAAACCATACCACCTAAACCAGTTTAGCTGTGCTATGTCCACCTGGGAATAAGATTCATCTCATTTAATTTTCAAAACAGACATTATGTTCTGTGTTCTAATAAATATCTATTCATCTGAAATATCTGGTCAATGGAAAAGAAAAAAGTATATTTAGCACTGCATTTGAGGATTCACAAGTCATTTCTTCCACCATAAATGAGTTTATGAGCTACAAGGGAAATAATTACATCACCTGTTCATATCAACTAGTATTTTAGGCAGCAGTTCATGGATTTAAACAGTCCCTTTTGTTTACACATTTTATGGAAAAAAATGGTTTCAACATGCTTTCAGAAAGTCTTGTATATGTATCAATTGCTACTTGCTTTTCATAACATAAAATTAAAGTATAATTCCTTCTATTTGAAAGAATAGCAGCACAGCATAGTAATTTGATATAATAAAAACTCAGTAAGACTTTTTTGTTCACATAATTTTTCTTCTGAAATGGGAATTTGGAAAAAAAACCAAACACCTTGGGTCTAATACCTACTCTCACAAAGCAGTTGTAGCTTATGAAAAACATGGTTGTTCATCTCGTGAAGTCTGTTAGAATACAGAAGCGGTGCAGCCTGCTCTCAGAACTACGCTTGTGCCAGCTAAGTCATATCCCATCCAGCCCCCAAAACAGGCTACTTACTGAACTAGATGTTTCCAGAGGGCTTCTGCACCGAACTGGAGATATATCAATTGAACAAAGCACTCCAAGTGGCTGACTACCACATGGACTATGCAGAGAAGGGGACAAACACTCAGATACACTTCCATTTTCTTCTAAAAACAGCTTTCTTCTGAGTGATGAAGAGCTCAGATTTTCCTGAGACTGATCTGCGAATTCATCAGTTCTAAAATATTCACCTAGAAACGTGGAGAAGTTGTTTCCAATAAGAACGCAAGAAAAAAAAAAATCTTCCACTACAGAGACATCATAACTAAATTAAAACACTTAATCCAATTTACCAATACAGGCACCTATCCCAAAGGATCACTTGTTATCATCACAAAAACTCCATCCTGTCTTGCAAGGTTCCACTACTGCCCATCATCCTTTAATAAAGTCTGCGTTTAAAAAAATATATAAATATTGGACAGCATCTACTTACTAGCCTTTTCCCAAAATTATATTATTCTTCACATATGAGTTGTGAAAAAGGGGTTGTTACACTACCCAAGCAAAACTAGACCCTTTTTCAGTTTTCCCATATGTTTTGACGGTCATTGTGATACATACAAAAGCAAACCATATTCAACTCAAAGTCAAAGCAGTTAGCAGTTTACAGTAGATGAGCATACAGATGTTAACAAAGACCCACTAAAATACATTAGGACTTAGCAGATTATTTTACATTTTTGCTCGTGCTCTATTCTAATTGAGCATTTCTTGTAGAAGAAATTTTTCATGAATTCACAAATGATGCATTGATGGAAGCATTTGTTAAGATAAAACACAAAAGGAATAGATATGGTTCTATTTTTCTGTTTTAATTTTGATGACCTACAATCAGGATTGTGAACTTCAGTACTGGGATAGGAGCACACAGCTCTGAGCTGGCTATACCCACTATTCCCATATATGAACTGTAAGAACTGGCCGTTCCAGCACCCTTGCCTGAGAAGTTGGCAGCAATTGCTTGATAAAGCAATTATAATCAGACAGTTATTTTGGACTCTCGTCTCCCCACTCAGCAGTCATGGCTTTATAGTGTAGCTTTGCTCAAGGCAAGGTTGGGCCACGAGCCTCATGGCTGGCAATCTCTAAGTCAAACATCTCTGCTAAGTTAAACAACTGCTCTATTTGGGGAGGCAGGAGGTGTCTTCTGCTGACTGCCTTTTATATATTCAGAATTGTTACTCAATTTCCAGTTGTCCTCCATATCCCTCCTCTTTTATCTTTACGTCCACACTCAAATCTTATCATCTAAGTCCCACGTCCCATGCAACACGCAATAATTGTCTATTTAGAACACATACTTAAAACTTTCATTAGGTTTTTCTTTTCTATTCAGACATTCGTAATTAAATTTAGGTATTACATGACATACCTAGTATTTTCTCTAAATTAAAATCCACTGGCAAAGACAGTACTGTCTGACAAGCAGCTGCAATGAATAAAACCAACAAAATTAGCTTGCAGTGACCTTTTACTAAAACTGTAAAAACAAAAATTCACTTTCAAATTGCATTGCAATTGAGCTATTTAAGTTAAGGAAAAGTGTTAATTAAAGCTAGGATTCTGATTTGGCAACACTATACGCAGCACACTCAGGCCTAGAGATAAAAAAAAACAAGGGTTGTAACATAAAAGCCTCTAGAGACATTGTTAAATGAGGAGAGTTCTCTGAAGAAAGGAAGGATTCAAAAGGAAATGACAGAAAGATCATCAAAATACCACGGGGAAAACCACTACCTATTTATCTAAAATGAAATAGTTTAAAAGATGTCTTAAGATTTCTGCTATTTATTTGGCAGAGAAAATAATCAAGATTCTCTAACTCAAAACAATCCAACACATTAAAGGTTTCTTGAAACTGTAATTTAGCCATAAACCTGAGGCTTATATTAACTTTTAATTCAGAAAAAGTGCATACATTGAGTTGGAAAAAATGCACTCTACAGAGGAGTTCAGTTTTTACTTCTGAAAAAATATGGAAGAGTATAATAGAATCAAATTACTACAAGAAATGGATATTAAAATTAATGGTACCATACAAAATTATTTCTACAGGAATATTAACAAAAAAAAAATCATTTCCTTTTGAAATTAAATAGACATTAAAAATGGCTTATTTCGCTTCAGAGAAAGCCTGTAATTTCAGACATTGCCTTTTACCCACCATTGCTTTTCCCAGGCTGCAAAGTCAGCTGTCTTCCAATTGGAGAGATGTTATTTAGATCTATGGCTGTAAAAGAGATAAAAACTTAAATTTAAGTACGGATTGCATATAGAATTTTGAAATCTAGTAGCAGTAACTTAGAATATTTAATACAATTGACTAAAATTTTTGCATCAAAGTTTGGAAGAGATCAGAAAGGAGTACTGAAGAAAGGTTACCATTACAGCTGATTAAGAGAACTTCAGCACCTTTCTATCAAACAAAGCTTAGTGAAGTAGCATCAACTTTGCCCAAATCTTTCTCTCCTGCTGCCACCTTTACGTTACAGAGATTTAAAACAAACCCAGTTTATGCTTACTCAAACAGGCTGTGTAAAACAGATTTCTAGAAAATCATGCAGTCTGGACTTGAAGACAAGGATGAAGAATCCACCCTTTTTATACAGTAAAGGAACACATTATACCATTTTCATTCAGCACTCACTTTCCCAGGTCAGGATTGCAGCTTATGTTCTTTGTCCAAGAAATGACGATTGTACAACTGACAATTAAAGACACACTATCCACAAGCTGCAACTCCTTGATAAATTTTTTTAACAGTTTAGCCTCTTCCAAATCTTGCAAAAACCCACAAACACTTATTTAAGAATTTCCTACTTGATCATTTCTCCAAAAGCTAGATAATTTTAGATGGACGCACAAAAGCAACTTACATTTAGTTGAATTAAGCTGAGAAACTTGCTTGCCTTCATGTTCAGTCCAAGGAGAAGGAACTATGAGTCTTTTTGTGAAAAACTAGAGCAGAATAGAAAGAAACCATCTAAGCATTTTTAAAAATTGAAGACTCTCAACTTAAGTTTAGATTAGTGCCCTAAACAAGAAAAATGTAAGTCATATCTTTTGCTACTCACAGATCTGTATTTTAAGATTTTTAACTCTTCCTTCCCCCAAACCTATAGTTATGCCTTATACCCAAAATATATTTCATTATTTCAGGCCCAAAGAGGTTAAGGAAAAAACAATTTGATTTGAAGAAGATGCCATGTTCTTTACAACACATACTACCTCAGATCTTTAAAGTCTGCAGAGTGAGAATTGCACAAAAGTTTCATTTAACACTCACTGAAAATTTTGAATTGTCTCTACCATACTTCCTGCACAGTAGTTTAACATAATTCTTCTCAAATTTTCACTTTGTTAAATTGTTGTATTTTGCCAATTGAGGTGTTTTGCAGAAATGCTAAAGAGACACTGCAGTAACAGTAAAAGCAATGGACAACCAAGGCTTTTTGGCAATATTATTAGTGTATTTGGCTAAACAGGTTAGCAGTGAAACATTTATGAATACTAGTACTTCAGTCTTTTTCTTTGAACCAGAAACTCTATCTGCTGTCACAGCTGTCTAGAACACCCTGATGCTGAGGAGATGAACACTATTACATAGCTTCAAGAAATACATTGCAAATCCTGTTCTCACAAAAAAACCCAAGAGTTAAAGCAAATAAAAAAAAATCAGCTTGAAACATCCAACTATTAAAGGCATAATTTTTATCAGAGACATGGTCTCAAGCTGTTCAGCTGCATAATACATTAGCTAATGCCTCACAAAGAAGAAATATCCTTTTTAATGCAGATTTAGAACAGAGAATCTTAGCTGCAGATCACCTACACAGCACCTTTATGGAATCATAAAACATATTTTTTGTTTATAGGCACAGAAACTGTTAATAGCATGATACAATATAAAAATGGTCAATAACACTAAGGAAAACTTGCCTATCAGGGCCTTATTTTATTTTTTTAAATTGAAATAACACTGAAGATTTCTATAGTGAAGATTTTAAATACTTTTCCTTCTCTGGTAGACAAATGGGTAGTAAAAAGTAAAATTAAAAATGAATGGAAAGAATTATAAGCTACCAGAAGAAAGTCTTGCATCCAACTAAGCAGACTTTGGAAGAAATAGAAAATCATCAAGGTTCTGCTGTATTTTTAAAAATGCAATTAAAGAAACTAAGCTACCTAACACTAACAGTTACTTTAAACACCAAAATAATCACTATTTTAACCTGAAATTAACCATTTATAAGAGTTATCTTACAGCTACATTCCCACTAGCCAAGCAACATGAAATCTGCTGCTTTGACCTACAGGCACGTGAAAGAACATGGGAAGAAAACGACCACGTGGATTCCATCTACAACCACAAGGGGTGAGGATACAAAACTACTTTCTTACTGACCAGTAAAATATAATACACTTCTGGGTTTTGAAATCCTATAACAGATGTGGATCTTTTTTTGTAGGTATGTGGCTAAAACAATTCAATATTTGAAAGCATAGAAAGCTTTATTACCTCCTCAATGGCTTTTTGCCTTCTGTCTTCTGTCTCCTTATCAATTCTATGTAACAAACGAAAAACAACTCAATTATCAAAGCCATCACGTAATTAGAAAAAAAAAGTCCAACTATGTAATCTTTTACAGATGCTTAAAAAAAATATTATAAAGGAAATTGCACTAAACCGTAAATCTTGTGTTTTTACTGTAATGTGCAATAATTTTATACTAAAAATTTAGAAATATAAATGCACTTCTCAGTTACTTCAGTTCATTTGAAAAAGATCAGTACCATTTATAAGTACAGATTTGCAAATCTTCTATTTACTCCTTGCATCAGCAAGTATTTTTATCTGAACAAAAACTCAATCATAATTGATCTTCCAAAATAATCCATTTAGTTATGATGAACCTGACATATGAATAGATTTTACTATTAAAAGTTGCCATGAGATTAGGCTTTCAAAGAATCTCACTATAAGATCAAGCAGAATAAAGAAACCTGAGCTGTAAGGAACAAAAGGTCAACAGAAGATACTCACAGAATGTTTGCATACTCAAATTCCTGACACAGCCCACTTTCCCAACACAGGGATCCCCCTTTCAAATAGTTAATCTGCCATATTTTCTTCAGTTCAGGATGCAATATCATATTTCAGTTTGAATCAATTAACATGTTCCCTTATGCAGCTTTTAACCCTTTTTTTTTTAAAATGTTGTAGTTATTTCAGCCATCTTCAAATGATGTGTGAGATTCGACATTTATACTACCTTTAACAGTCACTTGCAAGTCCCACTTTCAGTTACTTCTATGTAATTCATAAGTTTCAAAAAAAAATTACAATTAATATTCATCATTATCTTAGCTGAAGCACAAAATACTTTAATGCATAATTAGTATACCTGAGTCACCCTGGAATAATTTTAGAAATCAATCACATAACAGACATAATTAGCTACACAAATACATGTAGATGTACCTATACATACATAAGCTTCCCCTCACAGCCTTCTTTCTTTGATGGTAATCATACTTTGAATAGATCTGCAATACTTGGACATGCCATCTTAATCATGTCTGCCTAGATGATGCTAAAGTGACAGTTCTGTGCAAGTGTCTTCATAAAATTCAATTATTGTTACCCCCTCAAAAAAACCCCATACAATCATCATATATTTATTCATAGTAGATCATGAGTATCAAGCATCTCTACAAGCCAGATTCCAAAGGAGAAACAGGGGAACTAGGAAAACCGCTTCTACTAAAAGTGCTAGTTAGTGCAGAAGAGGATGTTTTTTCTTTAGTGCCTAACTCCAGGAAAATAACAAAGTGAAAATGTCATACGTATTTAGCAAGAATAAGAACAAGCCAGTCTTACATGCAGCTTCAAGCAACAGAGTACTTGGCAACTGTGACACAGTATGCAAGGTGCAATACAGATATTTTTATACTTTACATATAGTAACATAGCATCCATTTTACAAACATTCAATTTCTACCAGTAGAAATAAAAAAGGAAGAGGAAAGTTTATGGACAACACTGTGTCACCTTAGCAAAACGCAGCTCTGCTCAATTACCAACAGACTTCCTATTTGTCATTAACACAATCCTCCAGAAAGAAGTTCTAATCATTTTATAAGCAGTGCAATAAATACACAGCACATAGATGATGCCCAGTTTATGGAAACAGTAATACTGAACAAAATTAAGTCTACACGTGATACACGCTTAGACTTCACAAAGCACTCATGAGCTTTTACACTATGCTGCTACCCAAACTGTTTTCACTACATAATGGAGAATTAACAGTTTGAAATATTTATACGCCAAATTTCTTATGCTTGTGGGTCTTTGCAACTAATTGAGAAAATTACTTGTTAATAAGCATTATTAAAATGGAGTACATAGTTTGTGTAACATTATGCACGGGCTCTAACAACTTCAGGAACTTCTAGCATCAAGAGCTGTATTTATGACACTTTAGATTCTATAAAGCAGTATTTTGAAATGTCGATTAAAATTAGTTGCCATAAAAAAATCTTAGACAAATGAACATATATATATATATGCATTTAACCATGTACAGTTTGCAGTCACCAGAAATAACTACCTCAGACTGTACTACACTGGAACAAGAATGGACACAGCAAATCTACACATAGACAAATTAGCCTCTTTCAAGTCATATCAGGTGATTTTTAAAAAATAAAAATAAACACAGTGGGTATGAAACAGTGGGACAGACTGAAAGGACCCACTGTGAATGTTTATATATATAAGCCATAGCACTGATCATCATTGGGATTGTCACCCAAGCCATCTAAATTAAAGCTAGTTTGTGCGTGTCCTAATAGGCTTCCAGAAACAATGCAATCAACTCCCTGAAAAACATAAGGCTTAAGGCTTTTTAACATATAAAAAACATTAAGAGTCTGAAACCTACTGGCTGCTAGAGGAAGGGCAGGAAACAAGACGTTAAGAAAAATATTATCAACATCAAGACAAGGTGATTCACAGATACAGCTAAGAGCAGTTATATTCTTTCTACATATCTGCTGTAGTAAGAAATTAATATTCCTTCTTAGACCACTTCCTGTTCAAAAAGAGAGATGTAGGTACAGTGAGACAGTAGGAACAATAGGTCTAATATGAAATATTGAGAGGCCTCTTGCCCTAACCAGCCCTCTGTGTTTCATTCCACTAATAAGACTTGAAAGTCCTATAGGCATAAACAGGATGAAAGATTGTTTTATTATTCTATTACTGAGGTGCTTCAGGCCATGAGGTGCAATTCTTTGTGCAAGTTCATAGCTGAGAAATGTACGGGACTCTTTACAGGATTCATCACTTGGGGCCTTCCCTTGGCATGTTCTGGACTATTAGTAAGACTATCCCTCAAGGTGAGCTGTGAGTACCAAGCCTGTTTTACTTACTCATTTGTTCTCCCCACGGAAGTTATTTTCACAGAAAGGAAAAAAGTTGAGATCAAGATCCCCAAATTATTTCAAGTAACTAGCAATCTCCTCCTCCTCGAAGATGGCAAGCTTACTGGTCTTCCCTCCTTCACAGTAAGTCCAATCCATACCTTTCAAAAGAGGTACTGATTTACCTAGCTAGCTTTCCCAGCTTTACCCTTCTGCAGGAGTCCCAGAGACCAAGGACACTTATACTTCATAGGTCTCAGTATAGAACACTCTGGGAAGATTAATTGTGTTGTGACAAGGAGCAGCAGAGGTAGGTTGGTAACAATCATTAACAAGACATTTTCTTGCTTCTTTTGACCACTTTTACCTGGCTGTCTTCCAAACTGCAATCAGAGTGGATCAGCAGCTCTTAACATTAAAAAAGAGTGAGACAGAGGCAGCCTCATCTAAATATTATCTCCACATCAGGGACACATAAAAATCTATGTTAAAAGATTTGAATAAGAAGTCTTTAATGCTGTGTTGAAATGTCAATAAAGCAAAAGAACAGTGTTCTAGTATTCAAGCTAAGTTAACTGCATAAAAACAGATGGTAAGTTACCTAGCATGACTCAAATACATTGCTTGGCGTCGAACATCTTCCGAGTCAATTTCCACAGGATTTATTAGAGCAAGCTGATCAATAGACCATCTAAATTTTCCTGGTGTCTAAAAAAAGAAATGGACATCTTAAAGCTTGCTAGTCTAAAAAGATAAAAATAAAACTGCAGGACAAATCTCAATGGAACAACACAATCATAACTTCCATATAGTTTCTGTCAAAGACAATCAAAAGAGTTCCTATTTAAGTCATCTACTTAAAAAAAATGAGTAAGTCAATCAGGCTTCTTTATCCTGGTAGTGGTATAACAATGATTTGCAAGATAATATTAAGTGGAAGGTTATAGCTAGTATTTACAAAATGAGGTGCCAATTTCTTCTCAATTTCTGAGGACAGATCTACTAAAGATATAGAACTTGGGATAACATTTAGTTGCCTCTAGATTGCCATAATCAAAATTACAGTTCCATGAAAACCCAGTGTCCGTATCTAACCCAAGTTATCCAAGTAACAGAGCAGCCTTCCTTTCACCTCACGTTTCCAAGACGACTTAGGAGTTGCAGCCTCACACACATCATGCAAAGTCTCACTCATAAAGCCACGCACAGTTCACAACAAAACCCAATCCAGAAATAAAGCAGCTTCACCCCTTTATTTAACACTTAATTACAAAATATTGTTCAAATACCTATTTGAAAAACACAAGGGCAATTAAGTTTTCCTTGCATCCAGCCAGCTTAGCATGTAAGTAGGAACTGGTTTTGTTCCATTTTAAGTAGGACAAGAGCACTGCATCCAACAACTGTCCTTTACCTACTTTCAACCGTTTTTGCCACTTAGTGAGTTTATGCTAATCTACTGGTACGCCTAATATATAAAGAAAAAAGAACACAAGGGGAAGATGGGAAGACTAAGTGTCAACAATAGTGTTAAAAGCAGCATACTCCTGTAAGCCACTAGAATTCTTTGGCTTAGTGTATACATTAAAGCACACTAAATAAAAGACACTTTTTAATGCATTTCAAAATATTAGCACTACATCTGTATAGTTATACAATCAAAGACTAGATCTTACAGATGAGGATTTCGTTGATTTAAAAACTGAAGGACTGGAGACAATCTGCTCCTGAAGAGTATAATAATCACTGGGACTTTCAAAAGGATTCAAGATTGTGACTCGTCCTGGAGTTTCTGGTGTTATCTGCATTTTTGCTTCTTTTGTATCACCCATAACACTGAGCTATACCTAGAAAAGAGAGGACAAGAAAAATGGAGGGAGAAAAAGGGAAATTATAATTTTGACTTTTTAGGATCACCTTGAAGGTTTTGAGGGCAGATGATTAATCATTTTTAAGGAGCCAGAAACATTTAAAGGACTAACAAAACCGAAATTAGTTAATTAAAAAACAAACAAACAAAACCACCAGAAGAAACAAAACGGCAATGAAGACAAATACACTCCTGGAGGGCCGCTCACACACCAAACGCTGGCACTCAGGA